CTTACAACTCAAAAGATGTAAACGCTTCCAATACAAGCACTCAAAGAACACGTCATAAGTTACACTGACTACCAACAGTCGTAGATGCTCCCTGTACTGCCCTCACGGAAAATTGTTCCTTCCGAGCCTTTCCTGTTCAGTGCTCTAACTAGCTTTACATACTGATTACTGACAGCCTGGCTCGGCCTGTCTCCCCACAAACTGCAATGACAACCCCTCAGCTGCTGTACTCAGACGCAATACAGCCGCCCGCCCCATCTGACCTTGACAGTGACGAGCAGCTGCTGGGTGGCCAGCTGCTGCTGCTGAGCCGAGTCGGCCAGCCGGGCAGCTGCTGACTGGCTGAGAGTCAGCAGCTGGCGGCCGTGACGACGGCGCAGCGCCGAACGCTCCTGTTCTAACGACCGCGACAGCTCCGACACCTGGCGGGCGGAGGGGGAAGTTAAGGTGACGGTAGCTGCACACAGGTGGGGTTAGTGGGGAAAGTCTGACAGCAAACAGAAGAGAATTTTGGCGATGTGTTGGACGCACAAAGCATGAGCGGAATGAGACGTTGTCCACTGTCTAACTGTAGTCGGTCACCATCTTTCCACTTCCCACATAATTCTCATTTTCAAACAAACCGTTACAGCTAGCAGTCCGACCAAAATCCTGCTATCTTCGGAGTATGTCAAGTTGTCAACTCGACCGACCACCCCTGTCCGCCGCGGCAGGTCCTGCTGGCACACTGTTTGGCTCTGGTGGGGACCTGCATGCATGTGTCTCAGTCTGCTGGGATCAATCTACCTCCGACTTCAGAACCTTCGAGACGGCGATGTGGTGGCGGCCCTGGTGGCCGCGGCAATTGTCCCTCCAGAGCCGTGCGGCTTCTCCCGGCTCAGACCAGATGGATGGATGGAGGGAGGGGGGATATCCGGCTGAATGTGTAGGGGGTGGGAGCAGCAACCAATCAACCATCAAACCCCGCAGGGATAACCAACACCCCCGGCTCACCAGTCTCTGTCTGTCCAGCTGATGCTGCTGCCGGGTGTGAGTGAGCTCCTCCCTGAGCGCCGTCAGCTGACTGTCCCTGACCGCCAGCTGACGGCTGTGCTCCCGGCTGGCCTGCTGAAGCGTCCGCTCCGCCACCGCCACCTATAGGATGATAGAGGAACTGTTAGGTACTCGACCGGACACAGTTCAATGCAAGCGGAATGTGCCTTTCTGACTAGAGATCATCATTTGTTGACCACAAACCCGCTAAAACACATCGACCAGTGAACTGATGACACATGTGTGACCTAACAGCGACACCCAACGACGAGCAAGTATCCAGTGTGAAATATGCGACATGTTGACTGTTTAATGTTTGTGAGGATAATTTCGTCGTCACATTAGCTCAAAATGCTTCTTGCCCCAGCCCCAGGCTAGTGACAGCCTGACATTTAGACCGGCTTGCTGCCGTAGCTCCTGGCGGTCCGTCCGTTCTCTTTTGGTCGCCCTCTCCCTTAGCTGGCCCATCTCACACCCACCAGTCCCATCCCTCTCACCACCAGTCCGCCCTTCTCACCTGCTCTCTCAGCTGGTCCGTCTCCAGCTGCCGCTCGCACTGCAGCTGCTCCAGCTCGGCGCGCAGCTGCTGCAGCTGCTGCCGGTGCAGCCGCCGCAGCCGGTCGGCTTCGTCCTCCAGCTGGCAGCTCAGCGCCCCGCTGACCGCATCCAGCAGCTGACGGCGCTCGGCGGACGGGCCGGCCGCCGCTGACGTCATCGGAGGCAGAAACGCACACGTCATCAGAAGGCCCGAGGCATACGTAGCCCGTAACAGACGATACTGAGACGTCACAAACATGACGTGGAGGAAATCATAATTAGATGATTACAAATGTCAGTAGGGAAAGAACAGCGATGAATGGTCGTAAGTTGATAAGAAGTCGGTCAAAAAACGCTTGCAATCTTTGGGAGGCTCAGCAAGAGAATGTTATACCGGTCTGGTTGAACTAAGTAAAACGGGGAAATTTGTTTACATCCACTTAACGTCTCTGGGGAACCCTAACTAGTACGCAAAGCACCAACTAACCACATTGCACAGGATCCTCCTAAAATCCGAACCCACTCTTCTGTTGTCTTTGCTTACCTTCCCCTTCCTCTCCCGCCTCCGTCGCTCCATCGTGCGCCGCCGGTGTCGCTGCGGTGGCCGACCGACCCGCCACCGTATGTTCCAACAGATACCTCACACTGCCAGCCACAGGACTGGGCCGAGAGACGGCGGACCACGCGGGGGTCTCCCATACAGACGGACCCACCGACCGACCACCACCGTCAGTCCTCTGGGAGCCGGGACCGGGGGTCTCCCTAAACTCCCGGTCCCGAGGGGGCTCCCAGAAGGGAAGGGAAGGGTCGGGAGTTGGCCCGGTATGTGTGGTGTGCGTCTCCCAGCCCCGGGAGGCGGGAGGGAGGGTCTCCTGGTGTCGGCTGCCTCGAGCTGGGCGTGTCTCCTGGTCCCGGTGGGGCCTCTGGGACGCTTCCGGGTAGTGTGCCTCCTGTTGTGGGGTCTCCTGATAGCGCACTGCTTGCTCAGAGCTTCCCTGGTCCTGGTATATCACACCTTGCTGAGGAGTCTCCTGGTCCTGATAGCCAACGCCCTGGTGCGGGGTCTCTTGGTGCTTTATTTCCGCAGCCGCCCTCCCGGCTCGCTTCTCCTGACGCGTTCGTCGACTACCTCTTCCTTCTTTGTATTGCCTGGAGTCGCCTCCATCACCCCTCCCATCCAGCCGTCTATCTCCCGAGTCCCGGCGGCGCAGGGCAGCATCAGGTCGCTGTCTTGTACCCCGCACCACCGCCGCCCGCCGCCTTCTCGTGTCCCCCGCTGCGTCCGGGCGCTCCTCACTGCCTCTCTCCTCCTCTTGGCCTCTCTCCGTCCGATTGGGTGGCCCTCTCGCCTCTCGCTGCGCCTTCGCTCTGTCTTTTCCCACTCTCTCCTTCCGGCTGTCCGTCATTCCAACCACATCTACCTCTTGAGCTGCATCCACCGGGCCCCACTCCGGCATCGACCTGGATGAGATGGTGCTAACTCCACTAATACCCCCCTCCGACGAATGTCTCCGCCGCGCCGTCAGCCGCGCTGCGCCACTTTCGCCGCTGTCAGTGCCATCCCCACAGCTCTGCATGAGATCTGAAGAAGACGCAGCCGGTGGCGAGGCTGACGTTCGGCGACGGGGAGAGGGCGAGCGGTGCCGGAGAGCGGGAGAGCGGCGCCGGAGAGCTGGAGAGCCCAGCGCAGAGACCATTGAGGTGGTGAGGTCGGCTGCTGCGGGTCGCCGAGACGGCCAGCGGCCCGCAAAGTCGCCGCTACCACGCTCCGTGGACGCTGAAAGAGATCGGATGAGTTAGATGGTAAGAGATGGTGGGGGAAGCAGCACAGAACAAAGGACAAGGGTGAAAATAGAGTAGGGAGTGAGAAGAGGCATGAGAGGACACATTGTGATGAGACAGGAAGATAGATAATAGAGAGCAAAACAGACAAATGTTCTGCAGGGTGGAATTATTGATGAGGGGGAGCCAACAGCATCTTAAAACACATTGTGACTCATCAAACATTAACAACTGGTCACAACATGAGCAAATGAACATTGCTGTAAATTATTCCAGATATGTACCAGAGCCAAAACCTAAATAAAAACAAGGCAGGGCTGGACCCTGGTACGTGTCAAACTCAACATCTTGATTAGTTGACAGTCCCAGCACCAAAGCTCATCCATCATCTACCACAACCAGAACCACTTCTTATTCTCCTAACCCCGTGACCTTCACACTTCACCCCACCCTGCCCCACACCACCTGCCTCTTAACTCACCTATGGCCTCCTTGGTCAGCTCATCGGCCAGCCTCCGCCGCACCCTGGCTGACTCCTGCAGTGCCACCCTCAGACCTGGGGTCAGACCCGCTGCTGATGACGTTGACACAGCCTTCAGGCCAGCGGCTGGGGTCGCCGTCAGAGGAGTTGACGTGGCCAGCTGACCGCCATATGATGACAGGTAATTGGATGACGTCATTCCCAGCCGGGCGCTGGATAGACCGGAATCTGAACGTGTCCGGGCCATAGTGTGCAGCAGCTCATAGACGTCCTTAATCGGTCTCAGTCTGTAAAAAGGGGGTCCAGTGACATGGTTCAGATTTGACATCCAACATTAAAAAGTTTGCAACAAAAGATAGGTTTATATACCTATTACCTATAAGGTTCAGGTGTGTCAGTACCACAGAAATATATATTCTGCAATGAATAACAGTTATCTTTCAGAATCTAATATAAGTAAGTATCTCCTAAAGCCCAAAATGGATTGCAAATTGCTATGACCCTTGACTATGACTTAAAGGATAAATTGCAGTTCAACTAAATGAAAAAGACCACCCACATCATTCACTGAAAAGTCTGACGTGACACAAAACAATAAAAAATACATTTGCTAAAGCGTCCCTGAAGCAACATTACAAGCACAACCCCCTATCATCTGTGTATTTCAATTTAGGGCCTTGCCATCATCAACCAAAACATACAATATTTGTATTTACCGCGACACAAATTGCGCGCCTTTACCGCCGCGCGGGAATGATTTTTGTCTAGCGAGTAGACTTTGGGGACCATACTCAGTTACGTCATAGGCCCTAAGAAATGAACTAGTTGAAAGATGTAATGGTTTCACAACGTAAAAGGCACTACTTATTTCTTTTTCATGTATTTTACGTATATAATTATGAAATCGAGTCTATGCCAGATACATCAACTGCCACATGCACTTTGGGAAGGTTATCAAATGTTCTGGGCTTACATTCAAGGCATATTCCAGAAATCCGTATGCTTTTTTTATACAAAAGTACGACTTAGAAATTCATTCACTTATTGACAGCAATCGCACAGCAATGCAATCGCCATTCATTACCTTCAAATAGCAACACGGCAGTGTCGGTTACTTAGTGGACGCCGTTTATTCCGAAATTTACGTCCCACGACTCGGATAAAACGCTCAAGACGGTTCCAACTTCGTATATTTGCTCTCTGAAACACTTTCAAATGCCTTGAGCCACAACATAACAATGGCTACCGAGAACAATGGCTATTGAAATTCGAACTGCTCATTTAGCATGGTTTCCAGTCACTCCCAACCTCATCACGTGGTTAACGGTGTAACCCGACCGAAACATTGGCAAACACTGCATCTCAATAACCTGCACTCAAAAGTCAAACACCGTTACACCACCCATCTCGAACACAAGCTGCATCCAAAAACGTCACACCGTTGACGTCCTGAGCGACGGTTCTGATCACTGTTCCGGTTAAATGTGTCACGACAAACAGCCGTAGCAAACACGACTTGTAAGTCTGCCGACCTCCCTGGATCACTTCCTGGCGCATACTGTCCCTTGCCGAGGCAGCATCGCTATCAAATGATGGCCCTCCTTCGGTGTATCCCACCCAACACTGCTCCCGTAACGAAGGTGCGTTTGGAGACACCGGTAACGAATGACGTCACACCAGCGGACGAATGAGGGAGGGACATCACACCAAGAATGGGTGACGTTGGACCGATGGACAGTGACGTTACAAGGCAGTGAATGACGTCACATTAGCGGGAAGTGACGTTACAGCCTGGGCACGTCACGCCAGGTGAGGTCACCCTGGCCTGTAAGAATCTGTAAGAATGTTGACCCTGGCAGCAACTAACGTTACACATGTAACATCCCACCGACGAGTCCTTGACAACGACAACGAGTGTATCCACTGTCTTATCTCCCTCAGTTTCTCTCCGCTATCCCCACTCCTCACGGCTAGCTCTTGCTCTCTGGCGGCTCCACCTTAACCTTAACCGTCCCGGTAGCGGAGCCGGAGGCGCGCCGGTGTTTGCCCCGCGATCCTCCCTCCCCGGAGGATTCGTTATCAGACGAGGCGCTGACAGAGTCACGGTGGGAGCGCTGGCGACGTCGGCGGCTCTTGGACGGACTGCCGCCCGCTCCCTGCGGGTAAACGGAGGGGGGGGGGGTCAGAAGGTGCATAGAAGGGTCGGGTCAAACTGCTGGTCGTATGAAAGATCGACAACACGGGATAATCACACTTCCTTCAGCTAGCTGCAATATCAGACTGATGAGCGCACATCAATTTTACTGAGCCTGACTGAATACATTACGTGGTTATTATTAATCAACATTGAATAAAGAACAATTGAACAATGAAAATGACAGATGTTCTAAATGTGTGTCGGGCATACACTAGCTAGCCAACACTCGTAAAACCCCACATGGTTCGCTGGACAAGCATGCAATCTGTCTCTCCATAAATTGTGTTTTATAAGCCGCTCCCTCCCAACAGGTCCTTCACGGTCACCGTCACAGACTCACCCCCTCCTTGAAGGCCTTCATCAGCTGCTGGTGCTTGGCCTCCCACAACATGTGCTGACGCTGAACGATCTCCGGGTAGCTGCCGACATAAGGAACATCGAATTTCTTACCGCGACCCCGACGAGAGACCGGAAAACGTAGATTCGCCTACCGTGCCGCGGCGCTCCTAAATACTCTCCCCCTCGAGCTAACGCAGTTGCCTCCAGCCAGATTCGCCCGTGCTGTAAAAAAGGGGCTTAACCCTCGCATGTGTGCGGCGTTTGCCAGCTTCTAATGTGTAGGGGGGGGGGGGGGGGTCGGTTGGACCCCCCCCTTGCCGTTTGGCCCCTGATCGAGCTAGAGCTTCGCGGAAAAAACGAGCGTGTTGCCCGTGACGAGAGGAAGCCGATGATACCCAATTTTAAGGTCCTAGGTCATTGGTTGACCTTCCAGGTCAGGTCAATGATCCAAAGTCGGGAAAATCGGGACCTGTTAGAAAGTCGTAAAGTGTGGCTGCTAAGGGGTTTTTCGGGGTGCTGATCACGAATATCGTGTTAGTTTTGATCACAGATGATGTCTTGAAGCATTTAGACCAGGTCGGGTCAGGTCAGGTCAGGTCAACCGGTAGGGGTTGTGACGGGTATTCGTAGTACGTGTCAACCGCCTCTGACAGCCTCGTAACATGTTACGAAGTCACCAAAACTACTTCGTAAATGTTCAAATGGTTGCTAAATTCGAATTCAGCTCCAAAAACTAGCCTAGAAACATGTAAAACTCGAAAAAGTGACCCGAGGTCACCCGAGGTCACCAAAGGTCAATGACCTGACCTGACCTTCAGGTGACCTTGACACACACGGGAGTAACATCAAATCACATGTTTGAACGTTTGAAACCACGAAAAGCTTGCAAACACGCGGCTAGTGCGAGCCGACATACGCGAAATCGCGATTCCGGCCAAACATGGTTTCGGAAAAGAGGTCACAGGTCAAAGGTCATTTGGGTCAGGGTCATGAAATTTTCAGGGTAGGTGTCAAATTGATCAATGCGAGGGTACTGAAAGTTTCGTCGCGATCGGCCGCTTTTTACGCGAGTTATTCGCGAAAAACCATGGGGGGGTCCATCCGACCCCCCCCCCCCCTACACATGCGAGGGTTAAGCCTAGCCAGAGTGGCCATAGTAGCTAGCCTCATGACTCTTGGACTATGAAAGGCAAACGAGTCTGTGTGTATAGTTATGAACGCGGCTTCGTGCGGGTTACACCAAGTATGTGCGTGTTCGGCGTTCGCGTTGTGTATTTCGTATTCGTAAGTGTGTGTTTTCTTGTGTAGGTATTTCTTGTGTTATCTTCAACCAGCTCGGACTCGGAGTGTAATCGCCACGCCGATTGTGGATTGCTCTTGATCGTCAATACATACATACATACATACATACATCGATACATGTCAGAAAAGGCCATTGAAGACACGCCATTATGACATCTTTCAGTCATTAAATTTGGGGACGTGGCTTTTTTAGTCAAAAAATTGATACGTTCCAACTTCCAATACATATAGTATCAGGCATTCAGCCAAGCATATCAGGAATAGTTTCCAATGCGCATGCGAGGTCGCCGGTCGTACCTGACATCTCACCAGCCGTAAAATACAGGCAAGGTAGCTGGTCCTTTAACGTCACTAGTCGTATCGTATCTGTGACGACACTAATCATAGCACATGCGACGTCACTGACTGATCCTACCTATGCCGTCCCCGATTTCGCCCACCTGCGCTCGTGCTGCGGGTCGGGTTTGAGCCTCAGCCGCCAGCCGCGGTCAGCCACCAGCTCGGCCACCTGCTGCAGCAGCTCTGTGACGTCATCATTGGGCAGCCGGGTGGCCTCTGCCAGCTCCGAGCGGCTCAGGAACGACTTCTGCGTGAACTGGTACAGCTGGGGAAAGGACAGACGATTCGAGCCATTTGTGGACAGAGCAGGTCACATACAAATTTCAAAGCACACGACAGAGCCCAAGCTTAGCGAAAAAAATAGTCCACAATATTTAGCAGTATTTCTCCCCTCCTCTCCCTCTTATCCACAACCTGAGTGCACTTGGGTCTGCGGCCACCGTTTCTTTTATCCGGATGTTACTGTTTTTGCCATATACATAAAGAGGTTTCTTGCTCGCGTTTATCAACCTCTCATTGGTGCGTCACACACCCGATGTGAATTACACCTAAGAGAGGCAAAAAATTAAGAAACACCAGGAACCCCGCATCATACTGATAAAAATAGAGATCGAACTGCACCCTAACACCCAAACTCCCTCGATGTCCGATAGCCGCCGTTCAAAGCTCACCATCCAGTCCCGTGCGCGTGCCAGCAGTTCCCCCGACACTCCGGTGCGCGGCGCCTGGCTGCCTTTGGGATATAGCACATCGCTCCTGACAACCCACAGACCGCGCACCAGCTGTGCGGTCTGCTGGAGCACGCGCGCCACGTCTGCCGCCGGCGTGGCGCGGGGCAGGAGGGGTAGCAGAGAGCTAAACTGGCTGATCTTCACTGTGGGTAACGGGAGACGGGGGTTAATACAACTTCGCCGCAGGAACGGGAGACAGTACCATGACAATGCAACGTGTCCCCAAGTCCAAGAAGTAACAAAACGCAAAGTGACCGCCAACGTAACCAGCTCTACAAACATAGGAAAATCCTTGCATGGTGATCATAGACCAGCCAGTACAACCATTTGTCAAGATGAAACTACATAAGCGAAAACTACATCCCCACTCCCAAGTTACCACTATCCTCACAGCCTAACACATGCCCTTCCCTACTCACATCTGATCATCAGCGCCCGGATCTGGTCGGCCAGCGGCAGCGTCCGGAGAGCCCGGAGCGCCATCCGGAGCTCGTCCCGGCTCCCGGAGGAGGTGGCATCCTCCGGCTCCGGCTCCGGCAGCAGCCGGTGTCGGTAGGTGTTGAGGTCCACCGTGGCGGAGAGGGAGAGGTCCTCGGTGCGCGTACAGAGCAGCTTCTGCCACTCGGACTGTTCGCGGAGAGAAAGGTAGACAAGGGGTTTACAGGCAATACGCTAGACGATATTCGGGCTATTTTAACCACAAGCCAGCAGGATTTTATCAGATATGAGACACGTCATCACAAATTAATGAGCAATTGATCTATTTAGGGAACTGCGTACAGTTTGCAAAGTTGTCACTAATTTGTTATAGATGTTAAATAATTGAGTTGCAGTTGCGATAGGTAATTTGTTGATTTCTGACAAAGGCTTCATATGACACATCAGCCCCAGCATCCCAGCTAAGGACCCAAAACTGTCCGCCGTATTTGGTAGCTGCATCTCTCCTATTGACTTCCCACTATACACTCATCCGGCATCCCCCACTACCACTCTTCTCCCCATAAAAAATGAACCCTCCCTTCCTACAAATCCAGAACTAACCTCACTACTAGCGCTGTTGCGCTTATGAACGGTGGTCGGCAGCCAGGGCAGCTCATCCTGCCGCTTCTTCAGGTAGTGGTAGGACTTTTCTCGCGCCTGTTTGACTTTATCCGACTCTGGACGGGCGAATTTGACGGTGACACGCTCCTGGCTGGGCGCGTCCGGCTCGTCCTCGTCACCAGAGACGTCTGTGGAGGGGGTACAGAGACGGGTACAGTAAGGGGTACAGAAGGGCACGTATAACGAAATACAGACGGGTTCAGTGGTACAGGGGTACGGAAGGGTGCACACGGAGGAACAGACAGGAAATACCCACAGATGTAGATATACAGAGGGAAAATTGCAAAGGGTGCAAAAACTGAACTATAGAGTACACACAGGTAGAGACAGGCATAGATGGGTAGAGACACGAAACACAGAGGTGCGGCCAGAATACGCAGGTTCTTAATGACACATCAACTTCCCAATGGCGAATCTGGACCATCAACTTCAAAACCAAACACTAAATGTAAGAGCGCAACTAAGGAAAAGGCGAACAGAATGCATGACGTAGCGATAAACCAACACAAGAAAACTGATGCTGATGAGTTCAATAAATTTAAAAAAGCTGATGAGT